TACCCATTTTCCACGTTGTAAACTGAGACTCAGGGCAGGGCAGCCCTCCAGCTGTTCTCTGGAATTTCCCACACCTGGGCCATTGAGTAATGCTCCTTCCTGGGCATCTTGGATGAACTCTGAACACTTCAGCCAGTCAGTGTGTGGCCTTCCAAGTTGAGTGGCAGGACTTCAGCCACTTGAGCATGTGAGCCCCCACTTTTATGTCCTCCTGGGACGCTTGAGCTGTTAGTTTTCCTTCTCTGAGCCTGTTTGACTCCAGTGTTCCTCTGCTTGGGGCCGGTCACCAGGAACTGTGGATTCCCTGTGCTGGAGGAGGCAGCGAGTCCCTGCTCTATGACTGTGTTGGCACTGCCCTCCTGGGGTCTGTTGGGTGGTCGCCAGGCGTGCTGCTGCTGGGTGCCTAGGCACGGAGCATGGAGTTGGGGCAGAAGAGGTCGACCCAAGGTAACATCTGACTTTGGAGACAACAGTGCAGATACCCTGAGGTCCTGAGAAAGGGGAGTGTGAGGAGTGAGTTGCCTGTAGCTCTTTTACTGGAGGAAAATGTGATCTGACCCCCAGAAAGCCATGTGGCCTTCTAGACTGACATCACGCCAGGGCTTTCTGCCAAGGTCCTGGCTTCCAGTGAGAGTTGATGTGCGGGGAAAGCCCCCCGCCAGCAGGAAGCCACCAGAGGCTGGCCCTGGCCCTGCACACACCCAGGCTCCTTCTTAACTCTTCCTCTGACGGCCAGGAGTCGGGAGGAGGGTCTGCACTCACACCACATCTCTCTCCCTTTGTCAGGAGCAGAGGGTCCCCCGGTCCCCAACCTGGAGAGTTTGGGGCTTGTCAGGGAAGAGAGCCGACTTGGTTCAGGAGCTTGGCAGGAAGTCACTGCCCCCGCTCAGTAAGGTCGGGGGCGGGGGGAACTGGAAATGTCTGTGGTCTTGTCCACAGCAGAGAAGTCATGGGGGTGGAATTCCCCAGACTCACGTGATGTAGGAAGCTGCCCTGGGCCCCAGACCAGCAGCCTCCACAGGGGCCCCCGCCCTGCACCTGCCCTGTCCCCTCTCCTCCCCAGCTCTCCGGGGCACCAGCAGCAGCACCTGCAAACTTACTGGAAATGCAAGTCTTGGGCCTCACTCCACCCTCTGAACTCAAAGTGGGGCTGAGTTCTGGTGAGCTGCCGTTGGAGAAGCTGCAGTTGTGAACCTGGGACTCTGACCTGGGCCAGAGGGCCCTGTCTTCCTCCTGCTCTTCCCTTTGGGACAGCAAAGTGGGCCTGGCCAATCCAGCCAGCTTTAGTGTGGGAAATGATGGCCCTGGGCATCTCTGTGGGGAGAGAGCTGGCGGTGGTTGTACATTAAATAAATGTGTAGTTTGAGAGAATTATAGACTCTTAAGACATTACAAGAAATAACCCAGAGAGCTCTGTATCTTTTACTGGGTTTCCCTAGTGGTAACATCTTGTAAAAGTGTAGCACATCACAGGAGGGTACAACTCCATCAGTACAGTTGATACAGATATTCCATGCCCACCTTCTGTATTCCCACTTGCTTCCCTTCCCTCCTCCCCACGTTTAACCCCTGGCCGCCACCTGTGTGCTCTCCATTTGTGTAATTCCCTCATTTCAAGGATGTTATGTAAAGGGAATCATACAATGTGTAACCTTTGGGGACTGGCTTTTTCCATGCAGCATGGTTCTCTGGAGATTCCTGCAGGTTGGTGCCTGTATCAGTAGCCCTACCTTTTTATGCCTCCAGGCTCACAGTTGGTTAACTCTCCACCATTGAAGGATACTGCGTTTCCATTCTTTGGCTGTTAGGAATAAAACTGCTATAAATATTCACATTTTTTGTGTGTGAATATTTTGCGTGAACCTAAGTTTACACTCCTCTGAGATAAATGTTCAGGAATACAGTTGCTCGGTTGTATAGTGTGCTGCATGCTTAGTCGCTCAGTCATGTCCGACTCTTTGTGACCCCGTTGACTGTAGCCCACCAGGTTTCTCTGTCCATGGGGATTCTCCAGTCAAGAATACTGGTTGCCGTGCCTTCCTCCAGAGGATCTTCCCAACCCAGGGATCAAACCCAAATCTCCTTCATTGCAGGAGGATTCTTTACCGTCTGAGCTACCAGGGAAGCCCTGGTTGTCTAGTAGCTGCATGCTTAGTTTTATAAGAAACTACCAAATCATTTTTCAGAGTGGCTGTACCATTCTATATTCCCACCAACCATGCATGAGAGACCCAACTTCTCCCAGCCAGCATTTGATGGTGTCACTTTTTTTGTTGTTGGCTGTGCCAGGTCTTAGTTGTGGCATGTGGGATCTTTGCAGCACGTGGGATCTAGTTCCCTGATCAGAGATCCAACCCAGGCCCCCTACATTGGGAGTGCAGAGTCTTAGCCACTGAATCACCAGGGAAATCCCACTGTTTTCTTATTTTAGCCATCATGGTAAGTGTGTAGTGATACCTCAGTGTGGTTTTAATTTGCATTTCTCTGATGGCTGGTGATGGTGAACCTCTTTTCGGATGTTTATTTGCCATCTGTACATCCTCTTTGGTGAAATGTCTCCATATCTTTTGCCTGTCTTCTAATTTTTTTTTAACTTTTGCATTTTGAGAGTTCTTTATTTATTCTAGATACTTGTCCTTTGTCAGATACATAGCTTGCAGATATCTCTTCCAGTTTATAATTTGTCTTTTCATCCTCTTTGTGGGGTCTTTCACAGAGCAGAAATATTCAGTTTTTCCTTTTATGAATCATGCTTTTGGTGTCAGATCTAAGAAAGTTCTCTGACTTTGTGCTGTACATTTAAAATCTATGACCCACTTTGAGTTAATCTCTAAGATGTGAAGTTTAGGGGGTTTTTTTGTCTGTGTTTGTCTTCTGCTTTTGCATGTCCAATAGGTCCGGCACCATTTGTTGAAAATACTGTCTTTCCTCCTTTGTGCACCTTTGTCAAAAACTTTTTCCATTGGGCATGTTTGTGTGGGTTTCTATTGAGTTGTCTCGTTTGTTCTGTTGACCTCTGAGTCAATCCCCCTGCCAACACCACAGTCTAGAGTAGCCTGTCTATGTTCTAAGTCCTGAAAACCCTGTATATTGCTCCAGGCCCCACTCAGCAGGTCTGGGGAGAGTTTCTGTCTGTTGGCAGCACCCCCCATCCCTCATTGCAGTGTTACCATCCTGGTGGTTGTCCCCACTGGGGACAACCAGCCTTCCCTTGCCTGGCTGGGTGATTCTGGCTCACAGGCCTAAGTCCAGCGACCCCTGAGCCTTCTGGAGCCACCAGCCCCTTGCTTTTTTGGCCTCTGCTTCCTGGTTGTCACGTGGTCTGGAGCTTGACTCCTCTGGGGAGGAGCATAGGGAAGGGGAGCAGGGCCAGGTGTGAGGTGGACAAGCCCACCAGATGCCTCCTTCCTCTGCTTGTCTAATCTATCACCTCCCCTCCCAGCCCTGGCTCCAATTCTGGGACCTGCTTACCCCAGTGCTCTGTGGGAGGCCCGGGGCCCAAGCCACAGTCCCACTGTCCCCTTGACCTGCTCTGGGGTCCTGTGGAGGGACTGTGGAGGAGCCCCCGCTCCATGTGCCTTCAGAACTGTGTTTGCAGAGGACTTGATCATAACCCTACCTGCCTGGGGCTGCCCTGTCTGTGAGGTCCAGATGGAGTGTGAGCTCTGGGTTTGAGTGAGTCCCAGGGCTGCCCTTTTGCTCCTGAGCCGGAGGGAGGCACTCTGAGTTCTGAGGAGGCAAGACTGAACCTCTGCAAGTTAGCTTCCCCAGGTTTTGTGTGTGTGTATGTGTGTGTGTGTGTGCGTGTGTGGCCTTGAAATGCTTCCCCAGGTTGTGTGTGTGTGTGAGGCCTTGAAGCCCCTAAAAGGCAGTGGTGCTCTAGGATGGAATCTTGACACAGGTCGAGTGGGGCTTCCCCTGAGACCCCCTGAGAACCATGGCCACTGTGGTTAGGCTAAGTGGAGGTGTGTGTGGAAAGTGGCCCTGGGAGTGCCAGCAAGGGCCCTCAGCCTGGTAGGTGAAGGGTTTGCTTGCGGGGGTATCTGAAGGCGTTGGCAGCCTGAAGGAGAAGCCAGCCACTGCCTCGCTGGTTTTCTGAGGTGCTAAGTGGAAGAGAGCGGGCCCCACACAGTGGGGGGAAGCATCCCCCCTTTCCAGCGTTGGCACACAAGCTCCATGAGTGTCCACTGGCCCCTGCTGCTGTGTCCCCATTGGGTCGCCCCCAGCCCTCTGCCCACTGCACTGTGTGTGCCTCCCTGCCTTGTTGCATCATCACCCTGGACGTCAGACAACCTGTAGGGGTCAGGTCTGCCCTGGGCAGCCCCCTTGGCCTCAGAATGAGAGAGTGGGTACGTGTCACCCTTCTGCTGCTGTGGGGTGGGGGGCTGCCAGCCAAGGATGAGCTGCTGACCCCACACCGAGTTCCAGCAGGCGACCCACACACACACACCCATCCCCTAATCTGGCTGGAGGACAGCTGACCCTGTGACTCTGGCATCTGGAGGGCCTGCCCACCATGGGGCGGGGTAGTGCCTCCTGGTGGCCCCCTATGTGCTTCTGGCCTTGCCCTCCACCCGGGGGCCTTGTGTGTGGTTGGAGGAGAGGGGCTGGGGTGGATTCTGGCAGATGGGTCCTGAATACTCGCTGGCTTCTATATGTATCCATGCCTTCACATAGGGAGGGGGAATGTGGAAGGTTTTGAGGATCAGAAAGCCTTCTTCCATCTTCCAAAGGTATCCCAGGAGTGCTTGGTGGCAGGGCCTGACCAGCAAGGGCTAATGCTGGCTTCTGAGCTAGATATAAGGGGGTGTGGTGAGCAGAGGTTTGCCAGGGTGGGCAGTGTAAGGTTGGGCCAATGCCAGGGTGGCCTGACCGCCCCACCCCACCCCGAGTGGGCCCCCAGGTCGCCTGTCACCCTCCATCCTTGAGAGCAGAGGCAGGACGGGGCTTGGTACTCCCAGCTGCGTCTCCATGCACTTCTGTCCCCCTTGTCCCCGCAGCCAGAGCAGCCGAGTCTCACGTGAGCACTGGTGCGGGCTGCTTCCTGTCTCCCGCAGACCTGGCCTTCAGGCTGTTCCCAAGCCAATGAACCCCATGAACCCCATGAAACCTGCCCTGCCCCCCGCACCACACAGGTGAGTGGGGGCTCTGGCTGCCCTCCCCTCTCAGGCCTCTGAACGTGGGAGGATGGTGGTGGAGCGGGACCCCGCTGCTCTCAGCCTTCAGATCCTCCCTGATGGGGTTCTCGGCACCTGAGGCCTCCTCACCCAGGCTCCCCACCTGTGCCTCTCTGTGCAGTGATGGTCCATTCGCATATGAGGCGGTGCCTTGGCAACAGAGTGCCACTCAGCCAGCAGGATCGCTGTCTGTGGTCACAACCGTGTGGGGAGTCGGCAACGCAGCACAGAGCCAGGTGAGCCCAGCCCTGGCCCCACCCTGGGAGGCGTCAGCGCCCAGCTCAGGTCTTGGAGGCGTGGAGCCAGGGCTTCCTGGGTCTCCCACGTCCTCTGAAACCAGTTCTTCCACGCATGGCATGGGATCCTCTCCTCCTGTCTTTGCCTGGCCTCCACACCCCCACCTGTGCGCAGCTCCCCACCACCCCCACCACCCCTCTGGACCACCCCTCCCCTCTGCCCCCACCTCCACCTCCTCACCTGCCAGGCCTCTTCTTTCCAGCACTTTAGAACCACTGCACAAAGCAGGTTGTTTGCATGGTCTCCTTTAGTGATTCTCGGTTCCTTGTAGGTTTTGGGGAACCCCATGGGCCCTGCAGGGAGCCCCCCCGGCAGCTCCGTGATGCCCGGCATGGCAGGTGGCAGCTCTGCCCTGAGCTCCCCACAGTGCCTTGGACAGCAGGCGTTCGGTGAGGGTGGTGCCAACAAGGGCTACGTGCCGCAAGGGGTGTATGGCCGCGGGGGCTACCCCGGGGGCCCTGGCTTCACTACTGGGTAAGCAGGACCCTCCTCTCCTGGCAGGTGTGCCAGGAGCCCTCTGGGGGCGCGATGCTTCTTACTTGGTGGGCACCAGGGAACTGTGTATCGGGAATTATTGTGACCTTGCTGCTCCTGCCAGCTCCTGAGATAATGATGGGGTGTCTGGGAAAGAATGGGGCTCCCCGTAGGTGCCGTGTGCCCCCCCTCAGGAGAGGCCAGGGAAGTGCCTCTGAGCTGAGCCTTCTGTTTCTTGCAGGTATGCGGGCGGCCCAGGGGGCCCGGGGAGCCTGGGCCTCCCCTCACACTCAGCACGGCCATCCACTGACTTCACTCAAGCAGCGGCAGCTGCTGCAGTGGCTGCTGCTGCCGCCACGGCCACCGCCACAGCCACGGCCACTGTGGCCGCCCTCCAGGAGAAGCAGAGCCAGGAGCTGAGCCAGTACGGAGCGGTGAGGCCCCGCAGCTCCTCCTGTGTGGCCCATGTGTGCTGGCCCGGAAGACGGGGGCCTGTCAGGAAACCAGGGTGGAGGACTTGGGGACATGCAGGCCATGTTTCAGGGCTGATGAAGATGAGACAGGAAGGGAGTGGGAATCTGAGGGGAGAGGTCCCGGGCTGGGGACAGCCTGCCTGCAAGGGGTGGGCTTGGGGGTGGCACCCACACTGGTGGGTAAGGTCTGGATGGTTCTTGTTTTCTTTTCCCAGATGGGGGCCGGACAGTCTTTTAACAGCCAGTTCTTGCAGCACAGTGGTCCCCGAGGGCCCAGCGTGCCCAGCAGCATGAACCCGGCCAGCGTGGGAGGGCTGATGGGCCCCTCCAGCATGAGCCCCATGGGCATGAACCCCACCCGGGCAGCGGGCATGGCGCCCCTCTATTCAGGGCAGCGCCTGCCCCAGCAAGGGTACCCGGGCCCCCCCCAGGCCCAGCCGCTGCCCCGACAGGGTGTCAAGAGAGCCTACTCAGGCGAGGTGAGTAGCCGGGCTTCCCTCCTCACAAGGGCCATCAGAGTCGTTGGATGTGAGAGCACTGGCCATGCCTGATGAGGGACTCCACCGTCCCTTTGTGGGAACCAGCTTCCCCGACACCTCTTCTTCTGGGCCTTTCGCCTCTTTCCTTCCTCAGGTGTACCCTGGGCAGCAGTACCTGCCAGGAGGCCAGTATACGCCTGGTGCCACCCAGTATGCCCCTGGCCCCGGGCAGCCCCCTGCCCCATCCTCCTACCCTGGGCACAGGCTGCCCCTGCAGCAGGGCACAAGCGCATCCCTGTCCACCGCCAGCCCTGCGGGACCACACTTCAAGGTAGGGCCGGCTCCACCCGGCCTCTGGGGCCCCTGCTGGCCCTGCTCCCAGCTTTGTGGGACACAGACAGACCTTGAGGCAACCAGGGCCGGCTGGGGAGTGGGCCCCGGAGTGCTCAGGTGACAGGCAGCCACGAGCTTCACAGGGGTCCCAACTAGTGTAGGGCAGCTCCCAGGACAGGCATACAGGTGTGAAAGGAGCCTCTGTGAGAGGTATGGCGTAGGGATTATCAGGCAGATACCAAGCCACTCTAGGGAGAAGTGTCCCCATTTCCTCTGCTTGCTGCCAAGTAGCCCAGCAAGGGGACAGGCCAGAGGGTCAGGAGGGGCCTGAGTGGTAGAGATGCTGCTAGAGAAGGGCGAGGAGATGTGAGAACCTAAGTCCTTTCAGCCTCTGTGGCTTCCCTGTAAATCCCTCTGATGTGTGGGGTCAGCTCTTTTTCTGTAGTGGTAATTCTGTAAATTATGAAATCTGTGTGTGCTCCCTGTAGATTATTTGGGGAACCCAAAAAGTGTATAAAGGAAAAAGACCAACACCCACCCATGCATGTGCTGTCCCCAGTCCGCTCCTAGGGTCAGTTCCAGGCCCTGCTCGGAGGCAGGCGGCAGCCCCACACACATGCGGTTTTCTCTCCTGCAGCCTGCAGAACAGTTCAACGGGCAGGGTGCCAGCTTCAACGGGGGCAGCATCAGCTACAGCCAGCCTGGCCTGAGTGGGGTATGGTCAGATGGGCAAGCGGGCGGGAGGCCCACGGGGTGGATGCGGGGAGAGAGGGCACTCAGGCAGGAGGGCGTGTGGAGGCCCAGCCAAGCGCCCCTGGGGCTGCCCCCTGCCCATCCCTGGCCTGACCGTTCCCAGCTGGTGCTCCAGGAACAAGCACCCCCTCACCAGTCCACCTCCACTGTTTGTTCCACGCCACAGCCCGCTCGTTCCATCCCTGGCTACCCCAGCTCCCCACTGCCCGGGAGCCCCACGCCACCCATGACCCCCGGCAGCAGCATCCCCTACATGTCTACCAGTCAGGAGGTCAAGTCTCCCTTCCTGCCTGACCTCAAGCCCAGTGTGAGCAACTTGCACCCATCGCCGCCTGGTGAGTGAGGTCTGCTCTCAGGACTGGTGGGCAAGGGCTCTGGAGAGTCCTGCAGGGAACTTGGTGGGTGAGGGGAGCGCTTCACCTTTATTTTCTGTTAATGGAGCTCTTTGCAAATCTATTCGAGGTGTGGATCACCCCTCTAGAAAAATAGCCATGCATCCAAAGTTTTGGGTTGGTTCCGGAGTATGTATGGGCCCCCAGAAGCCCACTCCTGATATCTGGGAGACCACTGCAGCAGCAGCAGCAGCTGGGGTCTTAAAACCCTGACTTGAGCACTGGGGTGGTAGCAGGTGGCCCGTTCACACCTCTTCTGCCTCCTGCTCCCTCTGAAAGCACCAAAAGCGCCACCTTTTTGGGTGGGGAGCGTGTTCTCTTGAGAGTCATGATGCAGGAATCATTGGGCCAGGCGACTCAGGCAGGGAAGAATGGCGGGTCACCAAGATCCTGTTTCTGTTGGAGGTGAAGGCCGAGCCCAGAGTCCTAGGAGAGATGCTGTCCTAAGGCCCAGCCCCATGAAAGGGGAGGAGGGGCCACACTCTCCTCAACCATGGGCCCCACAATGAGGGCAGGGGCAGGCTGCCTGGCCTCGTGGCCATCCAGGACTGGTGGCCTACTCACACCTGCATGGCCTGCTTCCAGGCAGTGGCCCCTGTGACGAGCTGCGGCTGACCTTCCCCGTGAGGGACGGGGTGGTCCTGGAGCCCTTCCGCCTGCAGCACAACCTGGCGGTGAGCAACCATGCCTTCCAGCTCCGAGACTCCGTCTACAAGACCCTGATGCTGAGGTGAGCGGACGCCTGCCAACAGCTCGAGGCCCCACCCACCGCCCCCTGACTCTCAGCGTCCATCCTCCCCATGCAGGCCTGACTTGGAGCTGCAGTTCAAGTGCTACCACCACGAGGACCGGCAGATGAACACCAACTGGCCGGCCTCGGTGCAGGTCAGTGTCAACGCCACCCCACTCACCATCGAGCGCGGCGACAACAAGACCTCCCACAAGCCCCTCTACCTGAAGCACGTGTGCCAGCCGGGCCGCAATACCATCCAAATCACCGTCACCGCCTGCTGCTGCGTGAGTGCCCGTGGCAAGGCAGGGCGGGGCCATCATCACTGAAGAAGATGGCACTGGCTCTCCTCCTTCCCGTGATGGGCCTTAGAGAAAAGGGTCTCAGTTAAAAATGTCCTGGCAGCTTTCCAGTTAGGTTCAGTAACTAGATTTGATGCTCATGTAAGCATCAAATGTTAATTATGTAAGAGAAGCAAGCTAAGCTTGCCTGTTTCCTGGAAGAAGCTCACAAAGTCCCGAGTCCCAGCTGACCCTGAATCCTTGTTAAGGAGTCATCTGGGTTCTGGCAGCTCCAGATCCAGCACTAGAAGAGGCACTTAGATGCACAGCTCTGATCAGCTTAGGTGGGAAGGAGCAGAGGCAAGGCAATCCTAATGCAGCCCTGTGGGCTGGGATGTTATCACATGGACCCAGCATAGGATACCAGTGGATGCTGTAGGCAGGATGCACTCAGGGGCCTCTCAAATAATTGTGTTTCAACAGAGAGGCCGTGGTTGAACACTGGTTCAGACACACAGTGAGCTTTACCAATAGGTGTGGGTGTGGGCTCCTGACTCCCCGGGGAGGCGTAGTAGTAGCCTGCCTGTGCATTGGCTGTGAGAGGAGGGTGGGCCAGCACAGAGCCTCCCTGCGCCGCCCCCCGCTGACCACATCCTCCCACTGCAGTCTCACCTCTTCGTGCTGCAACTGGTGCATCGGCCGTCCGTCCGCTCCGTGCTGCAGGGCCTCCTCAAGAAGCGCCTCCTGCCCGCCGAGCACTGCATCACCAAGAGTGAGTGGCCCTCGCGCTCCCCGGCTCTGCTGGGGCCGCTGCCACACCTGGCACGTCCCCATGTTAGACACGGCTATCTCCTCGGGGTCTGGGGCTCCATGCCAGGGGGAGCGGTCAGTCCCAGAATGGCCCTCCGAGGTGCTGAGCTAGCAGTGGCCTGGTCCCGCTTGACAGCCCTCACTCACATCTTGCTTTCCCTTGTTGGTGTCAGTAAAGCGGAACTTCAGCAGCGGAACCATTCCTGGCACCCCAGGACCCAACGGAGAGGATGGGGTGGAGCAGACAGCCATCAAGGTGGCCCTCAAGTGCCCCATCACCTTCCGCAGGATCCAGCTCCCTGCCCGGGGCCACGACTGTCGCCACATACAGGTGGGTGGTCACCCCAAAGCTTTGCCAAAGCTTTTGCTGCTGTTTTACTGTTTTTGGCGAATGTGGCCTCTGAGCACCTCAGCTGGTGGGTGGCAGGGCAGGACAGCCTGTGGACAGGCTGCCTGGCTCCCCTGCCCTCTTCCCTCAGGCTGGGCTTTTGTTTCTTCTAATATTATCCTAAGTATAACAGCCATTTTACTGGGTTCTTGGGGCTCCATTGTATTTTACTTATTTACTATTTTATTTACTTATTTGGCTGCACTGGGTCTTAGTTATGGCATGCAGATCTTCAGTCTGTTGCAGCACATGGAATCTTTCAGTTACTATAGGCAGAATCTTTAGCTGTGGCATGTGAACTCTTAGTTGCAGCATGTGAGGTATAGTTCCCTGACCGGGAATCAAACCCAGGCCCCCTGCATTGGGAGCACGGGTCTTAGCTATTGGATCACCAGGGAAGTCCTGGGGCTCCCATTTCAAACAGCGTCGGGGATGCAGGGCACAGTCTGCTCCCTGCCTTGCCCCCAGGAGCAGCACCTGAGTTTCTTTCTGCAGAAACACTCTGGGTAGACACGTACCCGCACTCTCCCCTCACCCTCCACCTTTGGTTACATAAGCTGTATACCCATCGCTCTACTTAATGTTTTTCTTCCACACCACGTCCTGGAAGTTGTTCCCTATCAGCACGGTTGACCAATTCTTGCTTTGGCCACATGTCATTCCCATGAGGGCTCCGTAGGCATCCTGTCTCTTACATCTGTGAGGATGGTGCCACAGTGAAAGCCTGGCACATGCACCTTCTCAACATGCAGTAAATAAGCCCCACGTCCCTAGAAATGCAGGGCTGGCTCTCAGGGCATGGCTGGGTTACCCCCAACCCCAATGTGAGTAACTGTCTCCCCTTTCTCTGCAGTGCTTTGACCTGGAGTCCTATTTACAGCTTAACTGTGAGCGAGGGACCTGGAGGTGCCCCGTGTGCAAGTGAGTGTGTCAGAAGCAGTCCCCGTGGCTCTGGGGGTGGGTGGCACGTCCTCACAGGCTGTTAACAGTCATTTCCTTCCATCAGCACTGAGAAGTGCCTGCCCCAGATGTGAGGATGGTGCTGCTCTAGGCAGGGACCTCACACAGGGTCACCTCACACAGGGGGCAGAGATGTGATGGGGTCCATGCCCCAGGTGAGGTCGAGCCAGCCGTCTGAGCTGTGTCCCCTTGGTTTTCTACAGCAAGACGGCGTTGCTGGAGGGCCTAGAGGTGGACCAGTACATGCTGGGCATCCTTATTTACATTCAGAAGTAAGTCTCCTTTCCTGCAGCCCCAGAGGGCAGCCCTGGGACAGGTGCGGAGACACCCCGTGCTGACCCAGCATGGAGCGGGCTCAGCTCCAGGCCATGGACGGAATCCACGTCCGACCTGCATGCCACAGGCACGTGGAGCGTGCTGGGCGGCCACAAGCATTTGAGTGGAAGGTTGGCCTAGAAACAGTGCAGGGCCAGGAGAGGCGGCAGGGCAGGTGATAACCAGCCCTGCTGTCCCTGCCCAGCTCTGACTATGAGGAGATCACCATCGACCCCACGTGCAGCTGGAAGCCAGTGCCAGTGAAGCCTGACTTGCATGTCAAGGAAGAGCCGGATGGGCCGGTGCTGAAGCGCTGCCGCACTGTGAGCCCTGCCCACATGCTCATGCCCAGTGTGATGGAGATGATCGCCGCCCTGGGCCCGGGTGCCACACCCTTCACCCCCCTGCAGCCCCCCTCAGCCCCGGCCCCTGGCGACTACTCCAGCCAGGGTGAGTACAGGGGACTTGCCCTGGAAAATTAGGGCCCTGGGCGATGATCCAACCTCTCCCACTAGTCTGCCACCTGTGAACGCGTTGCTCTGAGGGCCACGAGCCTGGGGGCCTGGTTGGAGACTTGGGGGTACAGATGCCCAGCTGGGTGGTGGGGGATGGGCAGAGGTGCCCGGGCTATGGCTGCGCCCACCTCCCCAGAGGTTTGGAACAGAGGTCTGTGTTGGCACACTTCCAGACCAGCCGCATCCAGCCTTGTGGGTGGGAGTGTCTGGGCGTGGTGGGTCCCATTCCTGTCCCCTCACAGCCTCCTGGCAGTGGCATGACCACTTCCCCCAGCAGCAGCGAGAAGAAATGCCCTTTCCCAAGTAGCAACTTCATAAAGGCCAACATCCTCTGGGCGAGCGCAGTGAGTCCCGCCCATGCTGTGGCCAGGCTGCCCTCGTGGCTCAGCCAGCATGAGCCCCCTGCCCTCACCTGGACCTGGCTCTCCTCTCTCAGGTTCCAGCTTCCTGGGACCCGGGACCTTCCCCGAATCCTTCCCACCCACCACACCCAGCACCCCAACCCTGACTGAGTTCACCCCAGGGCCACCGCCTGTCTCCTATCAGTCCGACATTCCCAGCAACCTCTTGACGCCAGAGAAGTCCGGCCCCTGCCTCCCAGGCCAGGTCAGTGTCGAGTCAAAAGGTTGTGGAGCTGTCCCCCCAGGGAGCCCTCGAGCCGTTTTACTAGGTTGTTCTCTCCTTCCTCAGATGGCACCAGCAGGTCACCTGGACCCAGCCCATAACCCTGGGCCCCCGGGGCTGCACGCCCCTAACCTTGGAGGCCCCCCAGGGCCCCAGCTGCACCATCCAAACCCTCCCCCAACATCCCGGCCAGCTCTGGGCCCAGTGAACTCGGGGCCTCTCAGCGAGCTGGCCTTCAGTGCTGCCACAGGCATGATGGGGCACCCTGTGTCTGGGGCAGGGGAGGCCCCGGAACCGGCTCTGGACGTGAGTACTGGGCCCTGTGTTGGGGAGCACTTGGAGCTGGGGCTCGGGGGTGCTTATCTGTTGTCCCCAGGGTCCGTGCACTTCATAGAAGGAAAGACAGTGACTCCTCCATGACTTCCAGACTCGGGGAGAGCTGGTTGGGTGATGCCAGCATTTTTGTTGTCAGGTGTCCAGAGTAGCTGTGGGGTGATTGTGTCCAGGCACCTGGTTCTCGGGACCTGCGCGCCAACATGGCATATGCAGAGTCCCCGAGAAGACTTGGCTTATGGCCAATGACACCGGCCTTAGGGTCTGACTTGACTTGTCTGACTCACAGGTGGTGTGCGAGCCAGAACCAGTGCATAAAAGACAGGTGATTGTCCCTCCATCCTGATAAATGAATACAAAGTTCAACGTGAAAAAATGTGGCAAGCACAGCTCAAAGCAGAAAATTCCACCTTCTGCATTCATGCTGTTCGTGTTCAGGACCCCTCATGGGCCGGGGTGTCCCATGTTGTCCTTGGACAGCTTAACACAAGTGATTCCTGGTTGCTGAGCAGTCTTTGGCAGGAAGAGGCCCTGTGAGGAGCAGGCTGAGGGGCTCTGGTGCTAGCCTGTGTTGGAGGCTGGCGGGGGGGGCACCCCACTTCCCGGCTGGGCCTGGGGACCCGGTTGGGATGCTGTGGCAGGTCCGAGGCCAGAGCTGCTATCAGGTTTGCTTTGTCCCCAGCTGCTTCCAGAACTGACTAACCCCGATGAGCTGCTGTCCTACCTGGGCCCACCCGACCTCCCCACAAACAGCAACGATGACCTGCTTTCTCTCTTCGAGAACAACTGATCTTGTTTGTCAACCACCTGGCTGGCAGGGATGTGTCCACCGATGTCTCGCACCCTTCTTTCCAGCCCAGCCCCACCTGACAACAGCGGCCCTCCCCACGTGTACACCTGGATCTGGGACCCGCCCCTGACACCTGGCTGCCGGAGGCCGCACCGCACTGGCTGGGAAGGGAGCCCTGGGGCAGGGTTCTCACTGGCCCGGTTTGCAGCTGCAGAACTGTTTTTGAGGAGATGCCCAGCCCTGTCCCCATCTGTGCCAGCCCATGCTTGTCCAGCCCTGCCTGGTTCATGCATACCCACCACCCCTGAACTCCAGCCTCACCCAGGCCCCCCACCCCGCCTGCTCCCACCAGCCTGCATCTTGTCCAGCGTTGACCTTTCTGTTTCAGTGACCCGTTTGGCCCTAGGCCAGCAAGGAGTGGGTTACTCTGTCCTGGGGCCTGGTCTTGCCCAACTCGTTATGGCAGAGGCTTCAGGCTGAGGCTGGGGGTGGGGGGCTCTAAAGCACAACAGTGTACATAGTGTAGAAACACTAATAGATGTAGGGTGGCTGATTCCTCTGTGCAGGTTGGGTCTCCGTGGGCTCCTGTCTTCACCATGTGCAGGCCGGGAGCGGTGGGGGGCAACAGGCTCCCTTCTGCTGTTGGTTGGGCTCAGACTCGACCCCATGTGCAGATTCTCCAGCAGCCTGTTCCCCCAAAGTTCCCCGTTTCTGTAAGAGTGAAGAATTGGTCCCACAGTGTTTTTTAAGTCCACCTCTCCTCCCACGTCCACCCTGGGGCCATGCCAGGTGGGGGAGGAGGGGCCACCACACTCTAGGTGCAGGGCCGAGTCGTGTCCCCTGTCTGCCTGTCTCTATTAAAGGACTCCCTCGTGGTGGGCCTGGCAAGTCCCTCCTTCCTGCTCCACCTGTTTACCACACATGGGCGGGGCTCCCTGCTCAAGGCAAGGACCAACTATTTGCAACCCGTGGTAAATTTCCTTGTCCCTGGAATTTTCCAAGTTGGCTCTGGCTAGAGAGCTATTTGTGAAGTGTCACCAGGGCTGGGAGACACATCTGCCACCACGTCACAGTGTGGGCTTGCCTCGGGCGTGGAGCCAGCTGTGGGGCCAAGGGGCAGGCTCTGAGTGCCTGACCAGCTGCACACTGGTGCATCTGTGCGCTCACGGCCCGAGCGGCCCCGTGGGCCTTCCAGTCCAGCAGAAAAGGCTTATGAGCCCTGTCGGGGAGAGGAGGGAGCACAGCCAGAGACCAGCCCCAGTGGACGTGGGGCAGTGTCCAGGATGGGGCGGCTCCAGGTTGCCCACTGACATTTTGAAACCCCAGGTGTGGGCCTTCCTATGCCTCTGCAGCCTTGTTCCTACCTGAGGGAACGGAAGTAGAGAAAGGCTACGGGAGGAACAGTGGCCCCAGGGTTGCAAGGGGCAAAGAGGCAAGCCCCAGGGTTTGCCCAGAAGCCCACCCCAAGGATAGGTAGGCAACAGGGTCAGAGACAGGCCCAGCACAACCCACCCCTAGGAGTGGTGGGGGGGGGCACGCTCCTACCCGTTCTGGGGGGCATTAGGCATAGCTGGGAATGTTGTCCCAACTTGAGGTCTCGTGGGCCTCTGCACCCTCGGCCTGTAACATTCTGGGTGTTGGGTGGAGTGGGGAGAGCGGGAGGTGGGGATGAGCCAAGATAGCTTCTAGCTACTCAAACTCCACCCGTGGCGGGGGGGAGCGGGTCTGAGGGGAAATCGCACACCATCAGGGCCCCCAGCTCCAATGTCACTGCAGCATCTTCTCAAACACAGCAGGATGAAATTAAGGTGTGGGAGTTGATGAAATGTGATGGCATTCCTGTAAAACATGACACCAAATATGTACATTTCATGGATTCACACACACGATGCAGTGATGAAGGGAAGCAAGATGGTCAACGTGTTGGCCACGTTGCTTTCCATCAGAACAGCATGGGTATGTCCAGGGAGAGTATCAATGGTGTCCTCATCCTCAAGGGGAGCGGTGGTTTCATGAGCTTCAAATGCTTCATATATTGTATATCCCAGTAAGTCCTTGATGGCTCAGCAGGTAAAGAATGTGCCTGCAATGTTGAAGACAGGAGATGTAGGTCCTATTCCTAGGTCAGGAAGATCCCCTGGAGGAGGAAAATGGCAACCTGCTCCAGTCTAGCCTGGAGAATCCCATGGACAGAGGAACTTGGAGGGCTACAGTCCAAAGGGTCACAGAGTCAGACACAACTGAGTGACTAAGCACAATGTACATACCAAATACACAACTTAAAAAAAAAAAGCCAACTAGGCCTAACAACAGTTCACCCGACAGCAGCAGAATACATGTTATTTTTAAGTGCATGTGGAACATTCTCCAGGAGAGACCACGTGTTAGACTGTAAAGCAAGTCTCAATAAAAAAAAGTTGAAATCATACTAAAGAATGTAGTCTGACCACAGTGAAATGTAGATAACAGAAGAGAAGACGCTTATCTGCTGGAAAACTCAAATGTGGAAATGGACACTTCAAAAACTGAAGGGTCACAGGAGAAACCACAACTTAATTACAGTATAAAACACTATACAAATTGTATTTTGTGAGCCAAAAAGTTTAATTTTGGCTGTACTGGGTCCTTGTTGCTGCACGGGCTTTTCTCTAGTTGCAGCGAGTGGGGTCTACTCTGGTGCAGTGTGCAGGCTTTTTATTATGGCTTCTCATTTGGTGGAGCACAGGCTCTAGGGTGCTTGGACTTCAGTGGCTGTGGTGTGTGGGTTCAATGGTTGTGGTTCCTGGGCTCTGGAACATGGGTTCAATAGTTGTCGGGCATGGGCTTAGTTGCTCTGCGGTATGGGATCTAACCTGTCGTCTCCTGCATTGGCAGATGATTATTTACCACTGAGCCACCGAAATTTAATATGCAATTAAAGCTGTTTAAGTAGGGAAATTTATAGCTGTGAATGTCTACAGATAGGGAGCTCAGTCAACCTAACTACCACTGAAGGCAGTAGAAAAAACTAAATCCAGAGCTCACAGAAGGAAGGAAATAACTATTAGAGAAGGAAGGAAATAACTATTAGAGCAGAGCGAATAGGAAAACAATAGAGAAGCATTGTCAGCAAAGTTGTTTCTTTGAAAAGCAACAGAATGAACAAACTTTTAGCTACACTGACTAAAGGAAAAGAAACAAATGACTAAAATGTGAAATGAAATTCAGGGAAATTACTATGAGCTCACCTTAGGATCAGTCAGCCAGCCAGTTCAGTTGCTCAGTTGTGTCCAGCTCTTTATGACCTGGTGGACTGCAGCATGCCAAGCCTCCCTGTCCATCACCAACTCCGAAGCCTACTCAAACTCATGCCACTGAGTTGGTAATGCCATCCAACCATCGCATAATCTGTCGTCCCCTTCTCCTCCCACCTTCAATCTTTCCCAGCATCAGGGCCTTTTCAAATGAGTCAGTTCTTCACATCAGGTGGCNTGTTCCATGTCCAGTTCTAACTGTTGCTTTCTGACCTGCATACAGATTTCTCAAGAGGCAGGTCAGGTGGTCTGGTATTCCCATCTCGAAGAATTTTCCACAGTTTGCTGTGATCCACAGAGTCAAGGCTTTGGCATAGTCAATAAGGCAGAAGTAGATGTTTTTCTGGAACTCACTTGCTTTTTCGATGATCCAGCGGATGTTGGCAATTTGATCTCTGCTTCCTCTGCCTTTTCTAAAAGCAGCTTGAGCATCTGGAAGTTCACGGTTCACATATTGTCGAAGCCTGGAGAATTTTGAGCATTACTTTACTAGCGTGTGAGATGAGTGCAACTGTGCAGTAGTTTGAATGTTTTTTTGGCATTGTCTTTCTTTGGGATTGGAATGAAAACTGACCTTTTCCAGTCCTGTGGCCACTGCTGAGTTTTCCAAATTTGCTGGCGTATTGAGTGCAGCGCTTTCACAGCATCATATAGCTCAGCTGGAATCCCATCACCTCCACTAGCTTTGTTCATAGTGATGCTTCCTGACGCCCACTTGACTTTACATTCCGGGATGTCTGTCTCTAGGTGAGTGATCACACCATCATGATTATCTCGGTCGTGAAGATCTCTTATCCTTAGGAGGCTAAGAGAATATAAAGTTGTGCACCAACAAATTACATAACAAGTGAAATGGTCTAATTCCTAGAGAAACAAATAACCAAAACTGACTTAACAAGAAACAAAATATGAGCAGACTTACCAGTACAGAGACTGAAACAATAATTAAACCTCCAACACAGAAAAATTCTGGGGGCACATGACTTGAAGGCTGAATCCTACCATGTGAAGTATTATACCGAACTTCCTCCCATTTTTGTAAACATTGACAAGGGGGGAATTCTTACTGTTTCTTAGAGGCAGCTCCCTATGTTGCCAGCCTTTTCTCCCTCTAAGTTTGGCAGTCTGTGTCTTCTCCCTGGGGCTTCCAAAGTAGTGCTAGTGGAAAGAGCCTGCCTGCTGAAGCAGGAGACAAGAGATGAGAGTTCAATCCCTAGGTCAGGAAGATCCCCTGGCAGAGGGCTTGGCAACGCACTGCAGTATTCTTGCTGAATCCAATAAACAGAGGGGCCTGGTAGGCTACAGTCCATAGTATCAAACAGAGTTGGACACCACTGAAGTGACTTAGCACGCACACATGTCCTCTCCTCGCAGTGAGGGGCTGCCATGCCACCTCATTCCTCTTAGCTCCACTCCCAGCCTCACTGCCATCCCAAGCTTGGGTGGCCGTTGAGAGTGTCCTTACCTGCCACAGGTTAAACGAGGGAAGGCAGGGATGGTAGGGCAATGGTTGAAGGGAGAAGTCTAGACAGCATTAAGGAAGTGTTTCATCGGCCCAGGGACTGTTGAAGATTTTTTTTTTTTTTTTTTTTTTTTTACTGTTTACTTTTTGTGTTGGAAGTCATTGGCCTGATCCATTTGTTTAACTTGACACACAGAAGTGAGTTCTCTAAGGTCATGCACCTGTGGATCTGCTGTCCCAGTGAAGACAGAATTTTCCACCACTCCCCCCACCCCCTCAGCTATCACTGATTTGGCCTCTTTCACCAAAGATTAATTCAGCCTGGACTTGAGCCTGATATAAGTGAATCATCCCTTGGTTAGCTGCCCCTTCCTTAAAGTTCATATTTTTATTTCCATGTAAGTTGTTCCTGTTTCTTCATTCTTAGCTATGACTAGCAGTGATGGACACTGCTCCCCCAATGAGACATCCAGCTCTTTCTGGTCAGGGTGCTCCTCTATTAAAACCTTCTCCATGGGGTGTTAGCCATCACCTAGTTGCAGGTGACTGTGACCCACTCAGAACCAGCTTGTGAAAGAAGGGTTCAAAACTACCATCCTGAAAGGGCCACCAAGGACCTTGGGGTGAGACAGGCTGGGACCCTGGGCCCTTTGCTGCAATGCTGGTACCTGGACAAATGTTTCTTTGAGCAACAAATTACAAAGAAACTATATGGGACTAAAAACAACTGGGTGCATGTGCAGTTGGAGCAAATTATGGACAAAAAGATACAAAAAGCCGCAAAACCCAACCACCACCTTTGAAGATCTGGGAGGAAAAAGTGGGTGTTGGGAGTGAAAGCAGGGTACTGCATATGCCCCCTGCACTGAACAGCATTCAAGGGGTAGGCAAACCACCTAAGCCACCCCTCCAGCTCAACCCCTGGACATACCCCTACTCTCACTCCATGTAAGGACCCAACTCATCTCTCCAAACATTTCATCTCTACATACTCCAGCATGCACCTTGGAAAAACAAAAACGATCTCTTCTACCATTATCACACCTAGGAAAATGAACAGTAATTCCACAGCCTCACCTATTACATTCAAAGGTCCCATTTGTCCTAAAATGCAGCCCCCACTTTTTTGGTTACAC